TGAGCGCCAGATATTTTTCTCGCTGGGAGAGGCCTTTCCCCTTGGGGCCCAAAAGCTTTTTCAAGGGCTCAACACAGACACGGGTCCCTTGGAACCCATCAGTGCTTTCGGCTAACGCTCTCTCGTGGAATCTCTGAGTAGCCAAGTCCAACAAAAAAACGAAAGCATGGAGGGGGAGGTGTAGGCCAAAGAAATCTCTCGGTTATAGTCATCTCGAAACGTCAAAGCCGAGGTGGAAGTCCATCCAATCCTGCGCAGGCTAAGATGCATCCTCTGAAGAGGCCCACGTGAGTTATTCCACGTGGTACTATCATCGAAAGGGACATATCGCCAGAAACCGCACAGTTCTTTCACAGTGTGAAAGGAAGACTCAGGACTAGTGATGGCCGTCCAAACAACAGCAGCCCACTGGAGCACGGGGGCAACAGCAGGTCTCCACATCGGGTCTCCAAGGATGGCCAGCTTCGCCCTCAGAGGGCATCCCTTGTGCCGAGGGGGTTTGTAACTAAGAAGCACCCGTTGACCTTCCCTAAGCTCTCCGTTGCTAACCCCCACAATCGCCGATCCAAACGTGGCCGCTGGCAAAACTCCAGCAGTGTAGATGTTCCCCATCCTACCTCGCTGGCGGGGGAGGGCTCTCGTGCAACGCTGGAGCACACGGCGGCGTCTACGCATATCTTGGAAGCGTTGCTTGCGCTTCCACGCGGCGCGCCTCGCACCTCCACGCCTGCCTGGGGCAAGATCCGATCCTAACGAAACGATTCCCGCGCTGACTTGACCCGCCATCTTTCCCAAAAGTCGAGCAAGTTTATTGGCCAAACCTTGATTGCTCGCGAAGGTGCAGATCTTGCCAGGGTGGACGTCCACCTTAAGCTCTTCACGAAAAATGATCAGCAGGGACGCAGCCGCCTTTGAAATCCGTGATAGCACCTGCTGCTCAGCGCCGTCACTCGTCACGCTGTTGTCGCCCACGCAAGACGAAAGCCAGACTTCAGGATGCTCAACGATAAAGCGGTCGAAGGCACCTATACTGTACACACGCACGAATATGTCATTAAAAATGTCACCAGCTGGTAATCCTGACGAGCCAAAAAGAGGAACAAGACCATACTGGGCCCCGATGCGAATCAACCGTGGGCCCCGCCAGTAGTTATACGTCGTTTTCACAATCGTGCTATTTATGCCATACTCCAGGGCCCTTCGTCGGAGGAGGGAGAGGTCGAAGGATTCGTAGTATTTGGTGGCATCCCAAATAAACCCCCCCGTGACCTTATCATTCTGTTGAGCAACCTCGGCCTTAACCGCCTGATGCCAGACAGCATCTTCAGCACTGCGACCTGGGCCGAATGCCCAGTATTTCCTAGGGTAGCTCAAATTAAAGTCGGTCACGAACGGTCGTCGCAACCTTTCCCAGACTCGCACGGGCCCAGCACACAACAAAATGGGTCGAAGCCCTCCCTTGGGTTTTTCCAGGAGGGGAAACAAAAGCCAGAACAACTGTTTGGGGAACAATCCCAAACTTTCCGTAGCTTGCACTCTCGCAGCAAACGTTTCAAGAGCTTCATCCGACATCAGACTGAACTGACGAGGGTGTGTACCGTCGAGGCTCTGGGAGGTGAGGTGAGAGAAACTCGACGAGGCTTTTCGAAGCTCGATCGCCGAGGGTCGGGGCAGATGCTCTCTGTCGGGCACGCAAACATCTGGTGGTTCGTGAGACGCGTGCCAGAAACCAGCAAGCTCGTCGCCTTGCTGTCGCAGGAGAGCCTGCGGATCGTTGGAGAAGAAACCTGGGTGGGTCTGCACGACCGTCGGGGACCACTTCGCTTTTAATTCGGTCAAACGATGCACAGCCCTCGCCCCGCCGTGTAACGCCTTCTCCCGCCACTCATCCCAACTATCCCTCTTTCGTTTGTCAATGGCCTGCTTGGCCGCCGCGAGATCGTCATCCCACGAAGAGAGAAACTCCTGGCACTCGTCGCTCCAGTCCGACAGCTCACCTGTCGAGGGAAACCTGCGTGCCAAGTCTCGTGCCTGCACCAGAGTAGCGTCTAAACGAATACTGCGCCCATCACCTGGGCAGGGTGTGGTGAGCAGCTGCTGGACCTGGAGCTGCACATCATTAATTAGCTGATCGATTTGGGCGTGGTCCTGAACATCGGGGTCATCATAAAGCTTCTGGAGCCTCACGGAGGCCCCAATCGTTTCGGAAAGCTGTTGCGCAAGCCAGATCCATCCGTGGTGCTGCTGTCTCTCATCCACACAACTTGGTTTGACAAAAATATGGACCCATCTTGGTTTCAGGAAACCCCCTTTGAACCCCTTTTTGTTTGACCTCAACCCCAGTGAAGGCCTCGAGCTCGAGCTCGAACGTGCTAGCGAAATGGCGCCGCGCCTCCGTGAGCAGCTCCCACGCATATCCAACTGGCTGGGACAAGGCTGCATCAGCTGCTGCCTCGGCTACTGCACGAGGCACTCTCCAGTCCTGAGGCTGAGGTGACGGTCCTATGGGTAAACTAGTGGGCAACTTCTGGTGGGTTCGGTACATGAGCTGATAACACTTGACCGCATCAGGCCTTCAGGGATATGCACACGGGTCGGTGAGGTCTGTGTGTCCACGACACGTCAGCCTCAATATTCTTGCAAGCTCTAGTGAAGCACGTGCTAGCAAGAAAATAATCAATCGTAGACAAGCTAGTGGGGGAGAGGCAGGTCTTTTGATCTGGTACCATCAAGGCACCTCCAGTCCGACGAACCACCCACGGCGCCTCGACCAAGCTAGGGTCGAGGTTCCAATCACAACCGACAACGAACATGTGTTCACGTTCAAGCCGTTCCCCCACCATGCGGAGGAGCGACGCGTTCATCTGGCACAAGCCAGTTCCACTCTTGAGATATCCGCAGACCACCTGAAGAGGCGGCCAAGAGGGTATGTCAACAACAACGTGAATCAATATTCCTGGCCAGAGCGTGCCCGAGCCATCCTGGGGCCACCTAAGACCCAAGTGTTTTCGAACGAACACAGCCACCCCCGCCCTCGTCTGGCCACCTTCGCCAGGGAGGGATGGGGAGGAAAGCATTTTCCAACCGAGGGCCCCCGCCGCCGCCCCCTTTTTCACCCTCTCGCTCCTGCACGAACCCGACCTCCTGCGCCAGCAAGATACTCGACTCTGTGTGACACAGTCGCGCACGTAGAGTAGGCCACGAGTTGCCGTTATACGTTTCAATGCAGAAGCCCCGACCCAAGAGCAGCTCGGAGGTCGAGTCGGGAGAAGGAGCGGGGGGAGGTGGAGGAGGTGCAGGCACTCCGAATTTAGACAGAGGCAGGCCACAGCAGCGGGGCATGAGATTACCCTGGCCGCTTCTGCTTGCCAATCTTGCGGAGCACAAGCCTAAACTTAGCACAGAAGGCCTCACGGCCCAGGTTGCTGGAGGCGAGGATCTCGTCTGCCATCTCGACGTCGAGCTCGATGTCATCAGGCTCATTGTTGCCTGTAGCCTCAGCGCCAGTAGGAAACCCAGCGCCAGAACCCGTAGCGCCCATCTCGAAGGGAGACTTGGCAACCGATGAAGCTCTCTTCTTCTTGTGGTTGTTGCTCTCCGTGAGGACACGCGCAAAGTCCTTGAAGGCCTGCGAGTCCATGAAGGCCACGATGGAGTCTTTACTGGGGTGATTGTCCAAAAACTCTGTGTCCAGCTCAAACGTCGCCGCCACAGGATTTGGCATAGTATCTTGAAGCTCTTGATGCAGTACTCGGATCTCCTCCTCAGCAGACGAGATCTGCGCCTTGGACGAGTCGATCTTTTCTTGAGCTCTGCGTATAACATCAAGCTGATCCTGCACCACTTGCTCAAGTTGGACTTTCTTCGCAGAAGCCCTCTGAAGTCTGTGTCCAACCGTGGTGTGCCGCGTGAGTTGTGGCTTCTTCTCTGCCAACGCTTTTCTTGCATCGCCAAGACTGCGTTGAAGGGCTTCCACGGCATCTTTACCAGCTTCACCAGGCAGCTTTTTGCAATTGGCCACAGAGATCTCCAACTGCTTGATCTGCTCACGAAGTTGATCGGCCTCTTTGCTCTCTTTGTCTTTATCGGGATCCTTATCTTTGTCAGGTGACGGAGCTGCATCAGGTGGTCCCCGTTGCCCAGTAGATGCCAGCAGCTTGTCAATCCTCTTTTGCATCGCATCAAGCTGCCGCTGCATGGGATCACCACTCTGCGGGCCCCGAGGACGGCGTGGGGGCCCTTGACCAAGGTGACCGTTCGGTGCAGCAGCAGCAGCAGCACGTTCTTTAGCACGGCGGTGGATACCAGCAGGAGCAGACACGCCACACCTGCATATAGTCCGACACGCCCAATTCGCGTTCCGTCCGCAATTGTTGCAAAACCAGGTCGGTTGACGAGGTCCATGGAGTACTTCTCCAGCGTCGCCACCGCCATTGGATGGTGCCATGCGCCTGGGCAGCTGGAAGTGGAGCGCCCTCGCGGGCTCGTAATCTGCCTCCGCAGAGGCGTTCGAGAAAACGGAAAGGGTGAACCCTTGGCCTGGGCAGGCCGACTGAAGGGCACCCAAGGAGCAAAGACACGCCGAAAGACTCTCAAGCCTGCCGCACGGCTGCGGACAAGCTCGAATCCTCGCGGCAAGGTTTCGAACTTGAGCCAAAATGGCTACGGGCCGCAAACGTTGGACAAACCCAGGGCACCTTACCCTCAGACCCACCTTGAAGGGGAACAATGGGGGGGAACCGGCTCGGTGGGGCAGGGGGGGGAACATCGACCTGGAATCGGAGGTAACTCGCCCATAGGCCGGCGATAGGCCCCCGATGGCGAGCCCGCAAGTTCCTGGGCGGGGTGGGCTATCGGGCCCCTGCACGTGACGGATGGGCGATGGGGGGTCGAAACATCCCCCGCTGGGCCTGCCCAGCCACCCTAACGCTGCCCCCGAACTCAGGAACCCTGGCTGCCAGAGCGCACACTCCCTCGCGGTGGCTTCTCCTCTCCGCAGCGACCCCTCGGTCGTCCATGAGCTGCCCGTCCAGGTCCTCGATCTCGAGGCTCGCGCTCCCGTCTTCGCTGGGGGCGGCTGTGTATGTCCACCCAGGCCACGGAACGGCTCGCGCGGGGAGGAGGGGAGGGATTGCTGAGAGGGGCCGGCGGCCGTGGGTGGGGCAGCCCGGGCTGCGGCTGGGCCTCTGGCAGAAGGGGGCATCTGCGGATGGCAAAGCGTCGGGCTGCGCGCAGACAGCCCCCCCAGGCGGTCCCAGCTGGCCTCAGCTGCCGCCCCGGGTAGCCTCAGCTGGCCTCACTAGGCCCCCTCCCTTAGGCAGTCCAGCTGGCCTCAACAGGCCCCCCCGAGGAGCCCCAGATAGCTTCAACGGACCACCCGAGTAGCCCAGGGCGGTCTCAACACCTCGGCGCCGCCTCCGGCGCCACCCCTGGGGCGCTCCGCGCCCCGAGGTTGAGGTGTTGTCACCGCCCCAGACCACTCGGGGGGCATGTTGAAGCGAGCTGGGGATACCTCGATGGGCTCTGTGCGCAGACGGAGACCTTACCATCTGAGGATCCAGATCTCCGACGATTTGATGTTTTCAGTCCGGATGTTGTTTCCTCGAGATCGGTCTTACACACATATATGTATGTATGTATGCATGTATGTTACATATATATATATGTGTATGTACGTACACCCACATACGTACATACATACAGACATACAGACCTACATTCATGTACATATATATATGTGCTTGCATAATCAGCATACGAATTTCTGATATGATATAGTATGCTCCTTGAACGGATGCTAGGCCATATGGTATATAAGCATGCATGAGACTAGATCGAAGTATCTTTACGTGTACCATATAACTGTATGGCTTTTGATGATACAAACTGTTCGGTGTAGTCATATGATTTGATATGTGATACTATACCGCGTTACGCAACACATTTTGTTCTTGGATAAGGGGTTACGTTGTCTGACTGTAGATCAGAGTATACGACCTTTCATGGTAAAGTCAGACGACAATGTACCAGTTCATGTTGTCATATACAAAACTATAAGTACAGTTAACACTTAAACCATATAGGTTTCTCGGGTACAGCTTATGGTAAATTATAGTCTGCGATTGTAAGCCATAGCATGGTGTCGTCTACAATGCAGTGCCATAATATACATGTATAACTGCATATAACTATAGCATACCTTAATGTGCCATGAATTACTTTCGTCTGCGATATTACCGTATACTGTGTTGTGGTATGCTAGGCTTCGCTATGGTACGTAAGTATGAACTATAAAGGTATTCATCATGTGATCGTATGGTAGTAGATGGCACCCTGTGTAACATATTATACTATATCGTTATGCGTCATATTACATGTTGCTAAAGTATAACAGTGTGCCTTAAAGTATGATTTAATGTGTCATTTCAGGATGATTAACGTCCCTGGTACTGTCTTGCAGAACTCTGAATGTATAGCAAACAATTACCGTATGACAGTCTATAGAATCTCACTATTCTAGATCACATACAAAAACATCTCGACACCACACGGGGGTAACACTTCCTGGAAGCATGCGCGGCACGTTCTCGACACCTCAGGGGGGGGCGCGTAGGGGGTGCAGTCGCTATCCGTCGCACGTTCGCAAGGCGTTGCAGGCGTGGAACCCTCTCGATGCCATACGGGGGTGCCCTGGGGGTGCGGTCGCTATCCGCCATAGGCTTACAAAGCGTAGCAAACGTGCACTTTATGGACACCGCAGGGGGGTGCGCAGGGGATGCGGTCGCTATCCGTCGCACGCTCGCATGGCAGGCGTGGCACTTTCTCGATGCCACAAGGGGTGTGCTGGGGGTGCGGTCGCTATCCGTCGTACGTTCGCAAAGCGTGCGTGGCACTTTCTCGATGCCACACGGGGGTGCGCTGGGGATGCTGTCGCTACGTCGTACGCTCGCAAAGCCTGGCAGGCGTGGCACTTCTCGACACCAAGGGGGGACGCAGGGGGGTGTCTCTGAGTGCGGTCTCAATCCGTCGCAGGCCCGCAAAGCGTGGCATTTCTCGACACGACGTGGGGTGCGCAGGGGGTGGTCCCTGAGCGCGGTCTCTATCCGTTGCGGGCTCGCAAGGCTTGGCAGGCGTGGCACTTTCTCGACACCAGAGAGGGTGCGCAGGGGGTGGTCCCTGAGAGCAGATTCTATGAGGTGCAGGCTCGCAAAGGCGTGGCAGTTACTCGGCACCACCGGGGGTGCGCAGGGGGTGGTCCCTGAGCGCGGCCTCTATCCGTGACACGCTCGCAGGGCGTGGCAGGCGGGCAGGCGTGGCATTTTCTAGACGCCACATGGGCGAGCCAGAGGTGCAAGCAGAGCTGTCGATCTCGTCCTGTGCCACGTCTCGTCATGAGCTGCCGAACGTGTCGCATTCCATCCGTTGCATTGGCCGGAACTTGCGTAGCATCCAGACCTGTAAACACCTTAGCTCGGGCCAGCTCGGAACGCGAGGGTTTTCACGCAGGCGCGCCGGGGTCCCAAATCGAAGGCTGCAGTTGGTCGTCAGGCAGGCGCGCCAATCATACCGCCCCAACCTGTCATGGGCGAGTTCCCACCTCCGTGCTCGACGCTGGGAAACGCATTAATTCAGGCGGAGGGCGGCGAGGTAAGTCTGGAAGGCCTTCGCAGCCGTCCTGACCCGATGGCGCAATCCGCATTTCAAGAGGGAGAATGAGAACACGGTCCACGTCGGGTCCGACCCCGACTCCCGACTCCCGGGCGCCCGACTACGGTTGGGCAAGCGTCATGTTCTCTTAACATTGCAATTGATGCACATGCATGATAAGGTGGAGGGGAGGGGGCAACACCAGAACCTTCACCCAACCCACACCCCTACGACTGACAGTGGGAAATCTACTAGACAGGCAGGGGTGGGATATTTTGGGCAGAATTCAATCATGGTTGTGTTTGTGTTTGTGCTTGTGATGTTGCCTTTACACACACGGGTACATAGACATGACCGGGTGCAGATTTCAACCTTACTCTGGATATGCATTGTCTTATGCTTGGTACCTGGGGTAGGGGCTACAAGTAGCTCGATGGGCGAGCCACTTCAATACTTGCAGGGTCTCAATGATTATTATTTGGATCACATGTGTCATCAATTGGTTTACGACCGGATGCAGCTTCCAACCGTACTCTGGATATGCATTGTCTTATGCTTGGTTCCTGGGGTAGGGGCTACAAGTAGCTCGATGGACGAGCCACTTCAATACTTGCAGGGTCTTTCAATACCTTGCTCTTGGTTTCACTACTACCGATTCTGGGTGATTTCAATTCTTCTGGTGGTGTGTGTGCGGGTGGCCCTTGGGTGTGGAGGGGCCCGACCTGCGCCACACGGCCCTTGGGACACGAACTTCCAGACCCTGGCCCTCCGAACCCCGAAGGGGTTCCGGAGGGAGGCGAGGAAGATTCAGAAGGCTCGGAAGAGGGGGGCTCGCAAGCGGGAGCCGTATGACGATGCACGAGCGGCCCGACGAGCAATCCAACGACTACGAGCAGTCCCGCGAGCAATCCTACGAGCAGTCCTGCGGCTGTGGAGTGCGACCCAGCACAGCACAAGCAGTCCCACGACGACACAGCACAGCACAAGCAGTCCCACGACGACGCAGCACAGCACAAGCAGTCCCACTACGACGCAGCACAGCACAAGCAGTCCCACGACGACGCAGCACAGCACAAGCAGTCCCACTACGACGCAGACCCACGACGACGCAGCACAGCACAAGCAGTCCCACGACGACACAGCACAGCCACTCATCATGGATGCTGCCGACGGTTCGGGAGGGATTCAGACGGACACCCAGCCGTTGCAAGTGGATGAGGATGGTGGTGCGGCCCACGATATATGGGACATAATGCATATACTTGTCGGTTTTATTGCCAAGGCCATCGCTGATCTATCGATGATGCATGCTTCTGTTCTTGGTAATCGTATCCGTATATTTACCGATTGTGACGGAACAATTCTGCCAGATATTGCCGCTACGACGCCGTATGTTGTACTTCAGTTCTTCTTTGGGCTGGTGTCTTCTCCCACGACGACGCAGCGCAGCACGAGCAGTCCCACTACGACGCAGCGCAGCACAAGCAGTCCCACGACGACGCAGCACAGCACAAGCAGTCCCACGACGACACAGCACAGCACAAGCAGTCCCACGACGACACAGCACAGCAATAGCAGTCCCACGACGACGCAGCACGACACTGCACAGCACAAGCAGTCCCACGACGACACAGCACAGCACCAGCAGTCCCACGACGACGCAGCACAGCACAAGCAGTCCCACTACGACGCAGCACAGCACAAGCAGACCCACGGCGACGCAGCACAGCACAAGCAGTCCCACGACGATACAGCACAGCCACTCATCATGGATGCTGCCGACGGTTCGGGAGGGATTCAGACGGACACCCAGCCGTTGCAAGTGGATGAGGATGGTGGTGCGGCCCACGGTATATGGGAAGTAATACATATTTGTTGGTTTTCTTGCCAAGGCCATCGCTGATCTATCGATGATGCATGCTTCTGTTCTTGGTAATCATATCCGTATATTTTCCGATTGTGACGGAACAATTATGCCAGATCTTGCCGCGGAGGCCGGCGCCAGTGGGCTATCGTACTCTCTGTGTGATGGACGACTCGACTTTCGTGCCGGGACAAGGCGCGATGCGGGTCAAGGGGGCAGCCGAACCACCGCACGTCAGCGGAGAGAGAAGCAGATTGCATCCATCGTCTCCGCAATCCTCGCCAGTGACAAACCACCAACAAAAAAAAAGAAAAAGACAGAAGCCCGAGGTTCACCGCCACGGACAGCCGCACCGGGACCAGCACCGGCGCAAGCACCAGCACCAGCACCGACCACAAACACTAGCCTACTGACCATTCTGCAACAAGCGGTGGCACACGCACCCAAAAACACCAGCGATGAAGCAATCCTGGACCGACTAGAGGAGCTCCTCGCCGCTCGGAGGACCCAACCACCCACGACCACACCGCCGCGTAAGGGGCGATGGAGAAAAGAT